ATAAGATTGGGACACTCATGTCTCGTGTCCCGTCCCGAACAAAAGATCGGGATTGAATTTTGTCCGTGTCACATCTCGTCCCATTAGGAATAGGGATGAGATCAAGACGTCTCGCTGTCTTGATAAATCAGACAATATTAAAGAAAAATTTAAATAATAACATTCATTAAGATTTTAAATTATATAATTTATTAAGTTTAAAATTAAAATAACACAAGTACATAAATCATATCAATTTTAAGTCAATTGTTGAATTATATTAATCACAACTACACATTATGATAGTAATTACAAGTGATTTTTAGGCCATAAGAGCAGCAATATCAGGCAAGCCGAGCATAATATCAAATCATTGTTTTTCTATTTTAGTTAAAATGTGCTAAGCTAATTCTCTTTTGAAAATAAAATAAAAAATACAATATAAATAAAAGTTATTAAATAGATAGATATGAGAATAAATTGTATCAATATAATTAATATATTATAAAAAGGTATTATCCTATTTCCTCTATGTCATTAAAATTATTAATATAAAAAACTTTAATTTTATATAAAAATTACAGGTATTGAAATTATAATTGATATAATTAATATAAGTATAAATTATATTAATATAATTAATATATTTAATGTATATTTTAAAATAAAAATAATATATATAATATTCGAGATGGGACGAGACGTCCCAATGATAATCGCATGTCCCATTCTGTCCCGAACTCTTTTTCTATCTATTTTATAAATTCTCATCTCAATTGTCCCATGATCAAAATGAGGCTCGTCTCAATATAATTGGGATGATATCAAATCAAGTAAAATAAAACAAGCTGAACATTCTTCATCAGACGGGTTGAGAAGCAACGAGTTAACACTTTTTTTGCGGACATCGGTTTCATTAAATAAACAAAAAGATATTAGACTAAGAAGACAGAGACGAATTTCCGCTAATTTTATATATCCTCCAATTCTCTTCCTGCAGGTGTCTTCCTTCCCCATTTCTTTATTTTCCACTTTTTTAATAAAGAAAAGTTCTCTTTAATTTTTTTTAATTGGCCAATTACAGCTCTTATTAGTTATTAGTTGAAAAAAGCTTCAATCGAGTGTTGACTTTAACTTGCGGACGTGATTGGTTTCCACTGTTTGCAGCAGCATATACTGTAAGATTAAATCCAAGAGTATCTTTAAATTTTAAAAGGAATCTCATTGTTTAATCTTTTCAATAAAAATTTAAAAAAATATAATCTTTAACAGTTATAATTTCATTAAATTTTATTTTTAATTCTTATAATTTTTTTATTTTCAATTTCTATAATTTAAGAAAGACTGTGTTCCATTTATTTTTAATTCTTATAATTTTTTCAGTATTTAATTGAAATTATAGAGACATGAAAAATAAATGGTACACAGTCTTTCTTAAATTATAAAAATTGAAAATAAAAAATTATAAAAATTGAAAGTAAAATTTAATAAAATTATAGTAATCAATAATTATATTTTTTAAAAAAATTAAATAAATAAAATCCGCACATGCAGATAATGCCATGGCCTTGGCCTAGCTCAACTCTATTTCGGACCGAGATAGATTTGATTTATCGCACAATTAGGATGAGGGTTCTCATAAAAGAACAAAAGAAAAAGGTTCCCCGAAAAAAAAAAAGAATAAAATTAAAAAGGCAAACGTGTTCCAAGCTAATGCTAATCTAAAGCACGAAACGATAAAAGATTATTATTAAAAAAACTGATCAAAGCGTGTTCTTGCCACATCAGCTCCGCACATTTTCCTACAGGGTCCGCTTTCCTCTGCGAAGTGACGAAAACAAATTTTGTAATATCAAATCCATCCTCCCACGTGTCAATGTGCTGGACACGCGGTCGGCATCCGAGCGCGGTTTCCGGCGTCCCATGGAAGGGACACGTGTCCATCCCCAAGGGAACCTTTTTTTTAAAAGGGGAAAAATAACTATTGGCACACGTAAGGTTAAAAGTGGGTGCACGAAGTTGCTTTTTGGTATCTTTCGGTGTAAGAGAAGTCAGGCGTATCTATCACTAATTCACAATTAATCTAATTAATTATTAGTAATAGTTAAATTAAAAGAGCAGCGATCACGTCACCTTCAGCAGTGCCCCTTTTTAGGATTATTTTTGTTGATAATGCAAGGGGCGGCCGCGTGGGCGGTTCAGGATGACTTTAAGGCTATTTTATTATTCATAATCAGCCAAGAGTTGGATTACTTCACTTTGTGAAGCTTAATTACTAGTTTAGACTGGTCCTTGTTATTGACCAAAAACTAACGTCCAAATATATGACTCCTTCTCCCTCTGGCCTTTGAGACTTTTTCTTCAGAATCTACGTGTTGGGCTCAACTGCCTCCGTTCATGACAGTTTGGTCCTGATGGTAAATCATGGAGAAGAATTGCCTCTGGTTTAAATTTGACAAGAATTATATACATCCTAAGAATAAGTACTAGATTGTCACCTCGTCAAAATCAAGCTATATATAAATGGGATGTTTTCTTTGACATGTTCTTAAGAAGAATAGAATGACCAACAGGGCCTCATGTTTGGTGTTAGCCCAACAAGTCTGTTAGGCTCAGTTTCAGTGGTTGTGCCGAAGATTCTTAACTGTTATCATTCATCGACCCATTAGCTGCTACCACTCTCATTAAGTACCCATTCCTTCTTGGCCCAAAAAAATAAAAAAGGTCCAGAGACCTGTTCATGGAACAGAGGCAAACAAAAAACACACATCATGATGTTTTTGGGTCCACATAAAAAAACAATGTACTTTAGGAACCCCCAATTTTAAATTATCAATTAATGGCCCTGATCGCTTATGACATATAAAGTACAAACAATAAGCTCTTTGATCAAAATAACCCTATTTACATAGGGATTAAAATAGGTCAAGAAATTATAAAAGGTCAGTTGAAATGATTTTCACTCATACATTCCATATTCATTCTTCCATTTTGTACTCACAGTCCTAAAAAGAATCTCTAGTTCCAATACAGTTTCAATTTCCATTTTTGAAGTTTCCTTTAAGGAATTAACTACATCACTTTTCTTTGAGTGGAATTAACTATGGGTTTGTTTGGTTTGTATTTTTTTTAAAACTGTTTTGTAATATAATTTTTAAATTTTTATTTTAAAATAAAGCAAAACAAAAATATGTTTGGTAATATTAATTTAAAAATAGTTTTAAAATTAAAAGATAGAGTGATAATAATAGTTGCAGGTGATCAATGGTAATAGTTTATAATAGAAATTAAATAAATTAATTATATTTTTTAATAATTAAATGTAGTGTGTTTTGAAAATAAAAAAATAAAAACAACTTTAAGAAGTTTTCATTTTTTATTTTTCATAATTTTTTGTTTTTAAAAAATAAAAAAATAATTTACAAACAATTAAATTCAAAAACTTATTCAAATAATTTTTTTAAATATTTTATTTTTAAAAATAGAAATCAAATAGGCTCTATATATTACTGCATGTGAGTTTTTGTTTTGTGAATTACAAGTGCTGCCAATTACAAAGTCAATTTTTTTTAAACTACTAAGAACAAGTAATAGACTCCTCCTAGTTAGTTTTACCTCCAATCCGTAAGTGCGTGCATAATTTTTACTAATAATTATATGCTCTTTTGGTTTGATATGTTATTACTGGAGAACCATGCATGTATTTGTTATGTAATAATTTAAATTTGTATTGAGTAGGGAATATCTTTCCAAGTGAATGATCGCACATGGATGTTTTTTTCACACAACATTAATTCAAAGTGACAATTCATCTATGTTAATTTATCAGGAAAATTGCAATGCAGCTTGTTTATCAAATTTTGTACAAGAAGCATCGTCTAGTTTAATCAAACAACACAATATGATGTAACAATCTTGAACAAGGGTGCATTAAAAGAGCAAGCACTGTGAAGGAATGGCAGGGGATTTTTTTTTTTGGTCAACTTTGGTTTGAAGCTTGCCAACTTGATGTTACCTTCTCCATGAAAACATGTTCTTTGATATTGCCACCATAAAAGACCCTAGAATTACGCTCTATCTCAAGAAATATCTGGCCTCATTTAATCATGTCAAAGGCAAAACCATTCTAATTTATACTTCCTCTAGTTTTATTTATAAATCATTTCTATCAACCTCATAAATATCAATACAACAAAAATATAAATAATAAAATTTAATAAAATTACAAACATAATCCTCAAAAGGTAAATAAACTATATAATATTATTTTTTTGTTTCTCTCTCTCATTTTTTAATGATAGTTGAGGTATTTTATTTGAAACAAAACATCATTATCAATTTAATAATTTATAAAATGAACTACTTCACTCTTCTAAAAGATGACCAATAAAATGGATTGAAGAGAGTACATTCTAAGCTTTGATCACCGCAGAGCAAACTTGTCACTGCATTAATTAGCCTGATTCATACATAATGGACCAAGAGTGCTGTCACCACATTTTCCCCTTTTCCCCTCGACTTACTTGAATATGAATTCCACAATATGCAAATGTGCATGCACTAGACAGAAGCTAAACAAAGCCAATATCTTTAGCTCTAGTTCTCATCTGTCATCAGACTTAGATCAGAGCCAACCAGCGCATCAAATATAAAATAAGGATGGTAAACGACACGCTTTAACCCCAGAAAATAACTATCTTAGCTTGTTCATAGTTTAGTGTTAGCAGGTTCTGCCACGCAACTACATCTTCAGGATGTGTCATCTTTCCACTTCCATAATGTGCTCCATCTTCGCTTAAAATATATCTTTTGCCTTTTAGTTGCACCCCAATAGCTGGTTTTGAGTTTTCACATCCACAACCAACATCACTGATAAAAGCTTTGAAATGAGCCTCGGTTCCCCGTAAAATGATGGGTTGCTGTCACCTTTTTTGACTTCGGCACTATGGTTGCTTTCTTATTATCCACCTTAATTACCATGCTCACACATCTAGAAACATCTCATCCACTGCTATAAATTGCCTACCCACCATACATCAGAAGCAACACAGCCCTGCGAGCTCAGAAGTTCAGTTCATAGCAGTAATGGCAGGCACTCTCTTTCGTATATTCCTGATCTTTCTAGGGCTCTCTCAACTTCTATGCTTGAAAGCAGTCCCAATTACAAGTAATTAAGTTCTATTACTATATTCTCCTGCTTCTCCTTCTTCTTTATAGTCCTCACGCAATATTTTGTCTCTTTTGTATGTACAAACAGGGACCGAAAGCCTTCTGCAAGTTCCAAAGGTTCATGATCTTGTTCCAGAAAATAAGGACGAGGTTTCAATCTTGATGATGTTGTATCATATTCATATAAACTGGTTTAAGAAATATGTATAACATTATATTGCTAACCATCTTGTGTTCATGAACAGGTCGTTGCTAAGGATAACATGCAGTGGATGGTGGAGCCAAGTGCAGTGAGTGAGAGGATGGACTTGGACCTTCATGACTACTCACCATATGGACCTAATACTCGTCATACCCCAAGAGGATCATAATGTGCGAAATTAATATATATGTATTCATGTGTATGATTGTAAGGGTGCCCCTTGGCGCCTAGCTATAAACTCAATTTCTGTTATCACTTATAAGCAACAATTTAGTGGGATATATATTTAGACTACAATTAAGTGATGTTAGTTAATCTTGGAATCACGAGCCTCTGTGCGTGTTCAAGAACTTGTTTATGTAAACTCATTCTCTATCTATCTATGTTAAGAATATTGGGATTAATAAATTTCACATTTCCAACTTTATTCTTTTGTTTTATTAAATTAAATATATATATATATATATATATAATTCATACTCTCTGCAGAACATAGAGTACTGTATGCAGTGCTTTAAGAAAGATAGATACAAAAAATTCAAATCGATATAATTGCATGAAATAGGTCTCATTATACCCCCCCTTTTTGTGCCACTATGCCACTATTGCATTGCTATGTAATATTTAGTTCAACATACATGTATATGTACACATGCATGGACGCGCTTCCAATTTATATAGAATTGACGGTGTTCATTAATTTTTAGAATAAGGTCAACTTATTTCTATTAAAATTCTATATCAATATTTTTTTTCATTTTCGTGAGGTTATGTTTAATAAAACTTGATATTATTCTTTGGCTTAAAAGCAAAAGCTATCATTCTATTGCTAGGTCTATAATCATTTATCATTCCTGCATCTTTACTTTACAAATAAAGTCTTAATGTTATTTATGCATATATAACACTGGGTGTTCTTTTTTTCCCTTTTTCTTTGATAATTTATGGGTCAGGATGCTGCCATAAATATATCAATCTGTATACAGATTAACTAAGTTGTTGAATAAAAAAGGAATTGAAAATAAAGTTGGCTAGTACAGGGGCCTGCATTTGGGATAATATAGCTTTCGTTTGGAACCCTTCTTTTGGCAAAAAAAAAAAAAAAACCTAAGATGCCGCTTGTCCACCAAGAAACAGGGAGCCAAGTTGGTAGAAAAGTTAATTTATGAACGAATCCACATTGTTGAAGCAATTATGGTGTCAAATACTTACTGATTACTCATAATGTCTCAAATAAAGATCCCATAAAAGTATTCTATTTAATTTTTGCTTTGGATCATTCAGTGAAGGAAGTGCTTGAGAAAAAGGAAGTTGTTATGGGCGCACGCTCCTTTATGCTTCTGACTTAATATTTTTATTCATATGATCTCTTGCTGCTAGCCTAGACATCTGTTTATAATGATCTATGACTATAATACAGACGAAAACAGGGGTACACCCACAAGATTGGAGCGCTTATGATAAGAAATTGGATTCTGATTTTTGAGACACTCAATCTCTGTGAAATTCAACATGAACTAGTACTAGGTACCAGATGTGCCTCAATATCCTACAATGAAAACAAAACGAGATTATAAGTGAAGCGGTAAAAAGATCATTCTGAAAAGCAAGCACTCTCATTCACCCACGTCGCGGCCTAACGCTGTAAGGCTAATCAATGCGCGCCGAATGTCCACTAGCTTGATTTTGTTTGCTTTCTACATTATTAGTTGGATTCTTGCATCTCAACTCACACGATGTTTACTTACCCATTACTCCCTCCAAACCTATTTGTAAAATCTCATTGATATTTAACACAGGACCTCTTATAATGGCTTTCCAATCTCCCCCTTTCCTTCCAATAAACTATATCAAACAAAGGCTAATTTTGAAAAGTTGTAAAAATCTTTGACGTGCAATTAATTTATTTTGCGCAAAACCGGGCGAGTTGCGGGCAACTCTTAGTGCTTACTCGTCACCCCGTGCACAGCCCTGACTAGCATACAAACCAAGTTAAAAAGGTAAAATGATCTGAACAAAGGATGAATTTGGGTGTGGCATTCATTAGCTTGGAATCTCTTTGTTTTTGTCAGCCCACGTTGCTCAGAAGATTTTTCTTCCCCCAGCAAGAGCTAAACCATATATAAAATAAAATTAAAAAAATTATTCATCACCAATAAAATTCTCTAAGAGATAGTGAGGTTGTGAATGCGGAAGAGGTCAGATTGCTGATGTGTCGAAACCCCATTGGCAGGCATTAGTGACATGGCAAAGATCCTACGACTTCAGGCAAAGAGCATCACAACGTGGCAACAGGCCAGCCACTCAGAGTCACAAATAACCAAAACGATTGAACGAAGCACCCCCCGGAACTCAAGTCGGAACTCGGAAGAATAGAACCAAGATGAGACCATCCCAAGAATCCAACCTCATTATCCACATCAAATCTGCACCGTCCATTGCATCAATCGGACGCCCCTTGTTCCTTCAAATCCTTAACCATATCCATCGACAACATAAATAGAAAATAAAAAAAACGAGGGCTCTTCTTTCACTCTGAGCTCCCTGCTTTCACACTCCATCGAAAAATGAACTCCATCGCGCTCAAATCCTTCGTCGGTCTTCGGCAGGTGTCGCCGGAGAAGACCCAAATCACCGGCCAAACTAAGCCCATTACCCTCCGCCACCGGAAGCTCAAAGTAATCGCCGGTAAATACAGCCCCCAAATCTCTGGCCGGAATCTCCGCGTCGCGGTCATTGGTGGTGGTCCCGCTGGCGGTTCAGCTGCCGAGACATTAGCCAAAGGTGGCGTCGAGACATTCCTAATTGAGCGCAAGCTCGACAATTGCAAGCCTTGCGGTGGAGCCATCCCTCTCTGCATGGTCGGAGAGTTTGACTTGCCGTTGGACATCATCGACCGCCGTGTCACGAAAATGAAGATGATTTCTCCGTCGAATGTCGCTGTAGATATCGGCCAGACCCTCAAACCCCACGAGTACATCGGCATGGTTCGGCGCGAGGTCCTTGACGCTTACATGAGGGATCGGGCCAAGGAAAACGGGGCGACTGTCATAAACGGGTTGTTTCTGAAAATGGATATCCCCAAAGACAAAACTTCGCCCTACGTTTTGCATTTCTCTTGCTATGACGAGAAAACCGGTGGTGTCGGTGAAAAGCGCACGTTGGAAGTTGATGCTGTGGTTGGAGCCGATGGGGCAAACTCCCGAGTTGCCAAGTCTATTAATGCCGGTGACTACGAATACGCCATTGCTTTTCAGGTACATTCATCATCAACCATTCTCGAGTTTATCTTACTGGGTCTTCGAACTTTGGTCGATCTTGTCACTTCATAGTTCATCATGCCTTAACCAAAGATGGGGAAAAAAGACAGGGAAAAGAAAGAACTGAGATAGTAGAAGAACTTGGAAGTTTGTAAATTTTTTATTGAGACTGTTGATTAAGTTTGTAAATTTTTTGTTGAGACTGTTAATTTCTCGATTTTGTTCTCGGGAGTGTTGGAAATGTCAAGATTTAAACATTTTCTTTGACCCTTGCATGTTCAATCTGGTGCAATGGTTTTCCAGGAGAGGATAAAAATTCCGGATGACAAGATGGTGTATTATGAGAATCTTGCAGAGATGTACGTAGGGGATGATGTTTCTCCAGATTTCTACGGATGGGTGTTTCCAAAATGCGACCATGTGGCCGTGGGAACTGGTACTGTGACTCACAAAGGAGACATCAAGAAATTCCAACTTGCTACGAGGAACAGAGCAAAGGACAAGATTCTGGGAGGCAAAATCATCCGAGTAGAGGCACATCCGATACCAGAACACCCCAGACCACGAAGGTTGTCGGGCAGAGTAGCACTGGTCGGCGATGCTGCCGGATACGTGACAAAATGCTCCGGCGAAGGGATATATTTTGCGGCCAAGAGCGGAAGGATGTGTGCAGAAGCGATCGTGGAAGGTTCAGAGAATGGGAAGAGGATGGTGGACGAAGATGACTTGAGGAAGTACTTGAAGAAGTGGGATCAGACGTATTGGCCAACTTACAAGGTGTTAGATGTGTTGCAGAAGGTGTTCTACAGGTCGAACCCAGCGAGAGAAGCGTTCGTTGAGATGTGTGCTGACGAGTACGTGCAGAAGATGACATTTGATAGCTATCTGTACAAGACGGTGGCGCCTGGAAATCCATTGGAGGATTTGAAGCTGGCTATCAACACCATCGGAAGCTTAGTGAGGGCCAGCGCAATCAGGAGGGAGATGGAGAAGCTTAATGTATGAACAGAGTCCTCCTCAACTTTGTTACTATTTTCAAAAGCACAATCATGGATCTTTGAATGCAAAGCCATTAAATTTGCCGGTAATTGCATACTGGGATTGAGGGAAAATTGGGTTGATTGAGGCTCATCTAATTGTAATGCTTTTGAAAGTTTAAACCGAGACCCTTCTGTAGTCTAGTCGTGCTGGAAAATTAGATATTTCAGTTATATGTATCAATGATGATTTTTCACGTTTGTATCTACTTGACATGCATCGGCAGCGGGAGGATTATTTTTATGCATTTTGTTGGTCTAAATCTAAAGAGCTTGAGGGTTTGGATTGGGGCGTTCTGGAAATATTCAGCTGCTGAAATTTTCTCTGCGAGTTGTGACATCTTGAAAAATAATTGACTTGACAATCCAATAAGAGATATTAAGCCGCTTGCTTTGTGGTGTCAGTGATGTGTGTGTTTTCTTAAGCTTTTTTAATCTCAAAGAGTCGCCACCTGTCACGCTCTACTCCAAATTGGCCTCTTTCCTCTCAAATAAGTCATTTAAGGTGAGTTTGGATTGCATGAGGACTAGAGATGAAATAATTACTATTGGTTAATTAAACTGTTGTTCTCAAGATTTTTTTCCTTTCGGTTTTCTGGGGTGTGATTGAATAAATATGTGATTGCAACCTTTTCTGACGACACGGGCTCGCTTGCAATTCAATGCCATATTTTCTCTCTGTCATCCTGCAAAACCCTGTGCAGTGCCCGTTGAAGTTTCAGCCTCGGATAGTTTTGATTTGACGTGGCATTTTTCGCAAATTGAAATTTGACAGGAACGCTGTGATTAGACTTCATTTCTAGTTTGTTCAAAAAAAATTTCAACTTTTAAGTTTTCATTTATTAAGCATAAATATTTTGGAAATCACGAGGGGTGTCAAGTATTAGTATTACACTTTTATTATTGATCTATTCTTGGTTGGTTGAAAAATTTACTCATATATATAACATTTATCACACATATTATGGAAATCATAGGGGGTGTCAAGTATTACTATTACACTTTTATTAATGATCTATTCCTGCTTGGTTGAAAAATTTACTCATATATATAACATTTATCACACATATTATGGAAATCATAGGGAGTGTCAAGTATTGGTACAACACTTCTATTAATGATTTATTCCTGGTTGATTGACAAATTTACTCATATATATAACATTTATCTAGATATAAAAATTATATTTGATAAATTATTGAATCTTGTTGAAAAAGTCATTCATATTTAATGGTGGACTCTACGTTATAATTTGCATAGGATTATCTCTAATAAAAAAATTACTTAAAATATTAAAAAAACTATATTTATCATGTCATTGAATATTAATACTAATATCACTGTCACCCTAACATCATCAATATAGAATCCACTACTTCATCAGATCAATATAGAATACATTAAAAACTGTGAGAATTTTATTATACACAAGAGCCGTTGAAGACGTGAAGGGTCAAGATTTAGAGGCAGAGGAGATATAATTTATTGGGTAGATTCTGGGGACAAAGGGAAATAGATTCCATTATAAACAACGTTAGCTTTGCATTTGAAGGAAACATGGATTTGTACGAAGCTCACAGGTGGAGTTTTCAAGCGTGAAGAGGCTCACATTTGCTTCGTTAAAACCCACCACTTTCCCTCTCTTTCCCTATTTTGTATTCATTAGTCGTTATTAGCTTGAATTCTAGGCTATCCCAGGTTTGACTCGTCCCCCTGGTTCTCTTCAGCACTCTGTCTCTCGTTTATTCATTTCCCAGGATCTGAATCGATTTGTCTTTGAGATCTCTTCTTTCAACTGCTTTATTTTTTCGATGTTAAATTCGCTATAAGTTGCGGCACCAAATTTGGTCATGTTAATCTTGTTGAAAGTTTGTACCGTTCGGGAGGTTGGAGCTCCCTCTACTTTCCGGGGTTAACGGGTGTTGACTTTTTGTCCTTGTCCTCTTATTTTATTTTGATAGAGAGATGTTTGGTATCTGAATTGAATTCGTGTCCATTCCTGATGTAGGCAATGTGTTTGATGAAGGATATTGTTTGTGTCCTAGAAAGTATTTCTTGTTATTATAGAATAAATCAATTCATTAGAGTTTTTTTATCTGATTCTATGGTATATTTGATTGATGAATGTTAGAGCTTTATATCGGGACAAACAGGATTACTGGACTGATTTAGGAATGTCTTTTTTGAGTTGAATCGTATAGAGAATATATTAGTGTTAGTGAGCTGTATATTTTATTCTCTTTATTTGCGAAGATTGGAATTAAAACAATGGCTATGCCCTGCATCATCTTATTACTACTATTCCTGCTCTAGTTATCATCTGTTTGATCCTTGCTCTGCTTCTTTAGACTAAGTGATATCCTTTTCTTTATCGTTTATTCTTCTTCTTCTTCTTCTTCTTCTTCTCCCCTGTTGCTTCTATTTTCACATTTGTGTGCATGCATATCGTGTATAGATTTTAATATTTTTGGTTCCAATATATATTCCGAGTGTTTTAATGAAATGGAGTTAATACTGTATGTATCACAGACATTGAGATGGCTGCAGCATCAGCAGCAACCTTTACAACTGGATCGGCCACCTCCCTCAGCCAAAGAGGGAGCTCGCTTCCCCAGTCAATACCCTTTGATTTGAGGTTCAAGTCTCAAAACTTCTGTGGTCTCAAGGCATCATCCATCATTAGCTGTGGGGCAGAAACATCCTTCTTGGGCAAGGAAACTTGTGCTGCTTTGAGGGCATCTTTTGCACCCAAAGCTCAAAAGCCAGACCAAAACCTCCAGTACCACTTGCAGCCCCAAGCTTCCTACAAAGTGGCAGTTCTTGGTGCTGCTGGAGGAATTGGTCAACATTTAGCTCTTCTGATCAAGATGTCCCCATTAGTTTCTGACCTTCATCTGTATGATATTGCCAATGTCAAGGGAGTCGCTGCTGATCTCAGTCATTGCAATACTCTCTCACAAGTCAAGGATTTCACTGGAGCTTCTGAGTTAGCAAACGCTTTGGATGGTGTAGATGTAGTTGTCATCCCTGCTGGAGTTCCAAGAAAACCTGGCATGACTCGTGATGACCTTTTCAACATCAATGCTGGCATTGTGCGAGACTTAGTTTCCACTGTTGCAGATAACTGCCCTGATGCTTTTATTCATATTATAAGTAACCCAGTAAATTCTACCGTTCCCATTGCCGCTGAAGTTCTGAAACAGAAGGGCGTCTATGATCCTAAGAAGCTCTTTGGAGTTACTACCTTGGATGTAGTGAGGGCAAACACATTTGTTGCTCAGAAGAAGAACCTGAAGTTGATTGATGTTGATGTCCCAGTTGTGGGGGGTCATGCAGGGATCACCATTCTTCCTCTGTTGTCAAAGACCAAACCTACCGTAAGCTTTACTGATGAAGAAATCCAACAGTTAACTGTCAGGATTCAGAATGCTGGAACGGAAGTTGTGGAAGCTAAGGCAGGTGCCGGATCTGCCACTTTGTCAATGGCATATGCAGCAGCTAGATTTGTGGAATCATCTCTTCGTGCACTTGATGGAGATGGGAATGTGTATGAGTGCACTTATGTGCAGTCAGAAGTGACTGAGCTCCCATTCTTTGCTTCAAGGGTAAAGCTGGGAAGGAAAGGGGTGGAAGCTTTCATAACATCTGACCTCCAAGGGTTGACTGGGTATGAGCAGAAGGCAGTGGAAGCACTTAAACCAGAACTTAAGGCTAGCATTGAGAAGGGAATTGATTTTGCTTCAAAACAAGCAGTTACTACCTAAGCGTCCTTTGAAGAAAGAAGATTTATTGAAGAATAAGCACTACTTACAGAGCCTTATGAAGATTTGTTGTAGGCTTGTGGCATCAATCATTCTAGGCATCACTTCAGCTGGTCTTGTTGGGCTGGAGTCATCTTTGTTGTGGGGTGATATACAGTATACACAACAAATCAAACAAGTCTTGATTCATAGAACTATAAATTACTTCCTTACATACTGATGGTAGCGTTACATCAGGCATTATTATATGCCATTTCTTGATCAAATAAATTAGTAATGTTACAGCCCAAATCCTCTCTTGTCTAATTCCTTTCTGGAGTCTCATCTTCAGCAATTTCTCTGGCTTGCTTCTCTAGGCGTCGCACTTGATAAATAACCCAAAAATCAAGCAATATAATGTCAATGCCTTGATTAGATACCTTAATTTTTATTTTTTATTGTCAATTTCATAGAGACAAATAATGTAATTTTGAACTTCTTTTTTTATGAGCAAGTGTAAATTTTGTAAAATTGGGTCTTCATTCCTGTTAAAATCTGCCAAATTGTGAAGTTCTATTTATAATTCTAACGTTCTTTTTTCTGATCTGCCAAATGCCTCGATTCACTGCACCTTTTGTGCAGGCTTCATTCTAATCTAATCTCCACTATAGCAAAATTTAGCTTAGAAATGAAATTTTAGCAGTTGGTGCTAGAATTGACATTCGACTGCAGCTTTAATGTAACATATTTCAAAGGAATCTGCACACAGTACTCTACGTATATCACGATACTTCACCAACATGCAACATATCCTCCAGTATGCATCCTTCATTTCTGTCACTACAAGTGAACACAAAATCAATCACTATTGATCGTCGTTCATTTCTTAACAAGTACCGTGGTTTTTTCAGACAGACACCAACATCCAGAATCAGTCTGTCACCAACATCCTCCTCCCTCCCCCCTCGTTGTCTTAAAAAAAAAAAAAAGGGGAAACTAATTATTAGTAGAAGGAGGTGAAGCTGGAAAGAACATTTATGTTGTAAAATGGAGAGGGACTGGTGGCAACAGATGCTTGATGTCCTGTACTTGATCGTCATAATTATTTCCATTCCTTGCAGACTCCAATTCCGCTGAAGATCCCATGAGCTTCCTTTTCTTGTAGTTGGCTTTGAAACAAGCCTGTCTGAGCCTTTTTGTGTTATCCTCAAGCTGCAAATCCGGCATCTCCTCCATCAACTTCTTTTCCTTAGCCAGTATCTCAAGCGCGTTCCTCAGTTTCTCTTCACTGTCTCGGTCCCCTTCTTTTCCTAGCTCCTGCACCAACAGCCAAATCAATTGTGGGAACTTGTATCTGCTTGTGTTTAAATTAGAATGATTTCACATGTGACAATCTGTTAATGCATCAAGCGAACCTTCACATTGTTTATCAAAGTTTGCAGGCTCATCAGTTTCCTGTGAGGCCACCTTCTTATTCCCAATTCTCTGCACCTCTTCTTCAGAAGTGTTAGGCCCACATTAAGCTCCTTGGCAGCCTGTGTTATGGGCATATAGAAGTACTGAGAAATAGCCTTCCTTGACAACAACTTGGTGCTGCCACTTCTCTCTTCTCTGCCTGTTCGCTTCACCTCGCTTTCTTCCTCCTCCACTTCCTTCCCACTTTCTCCTTTCTTGCAGAGTACATAAACAGGGTTATCTGAATCAAACCCATCGTCAATCTCATTCCACACTGCTAGTCCCTTCTTAATATCGAGGTCGTAAAAGTCATAGTCTGCAGAAGAAGATATCCATATATCAGAATGATGTACTTCATACATACATAAATGAGAAGGGAAACCAAAAGTCAAGTAAAAACACCTTGCACGCTTTGTGTTGGTTCAATGGCTAGGGTTTCTTCGAATAAAGGATCCGGTCCCGTGCAAGGTACGGCTAATCCATAAGGCCAATCCAGTCCTAAACATCCGCTGTCATTTGCGCTGCAAAAGATACTACAATGACAACAAATTTCATATCATATTTCTCACCACAAAGCACAGGAGAAGTTTAACGTACCTGAAGTCAGATGAAGGTATTTGGTACGTGGGAGAGAAAGGAACTTCGCCGAATTCATTCTTAGGGAATGGAACTTGGTCGAAATCATTCTTAAAATTCCATCCCATGAGTTGCTGACTCTGACTCTGACTCCCCATCATCATCATGCTGTAGAGCGTAAAGCAGAGAGAGATATAAAAAAGAGAAAGTGGAAAAGGAGAATATAATTCTGGGGCTGGAAACGAAAGGAAGAAGGCAATATATATACACACGAAACATGAATGTGAGGATAATGAATGTATGAATGGGAAGTAAAGGGGAGGGTAATCACTTGTTGGAGAATGCGCGCCGCCTCCATGCATGAATGAGACTTAATGTTTAACGTGTGCAGTGCTTTGCGAGAGTTACAAGATCAGTTTTAATTACGAAAGGATAATTATTCCTATCTACACCCCTCAATTTTTAGAGGGCCAATTTAATTAATTAGTGGCTAGATGAGTAGACTCATAATTAACCTCTGAGATATGTACTTATCAGTTACACTTCGTACAGAGTGATCGGCCTCAATCTACGTAGTAATCCAAACCAGTGAAGAGCAACGCTACCATACTATGCTAAGACTTGAAAAGAAAGAGCTTCATCATGATTCATGAGCATGCATACAGTATATGTATAGCTGACATATTTTAGTGTTTCTTCCAAGCAATAGTATAAATAAACTTGAAACTATAAATCACAATCATGAGCTTTCCGCCAACTTTCTGAACTCTGATGAATCATTTCTCATGGAACCAGATAAAAATCAGAAGAAAAACTTCTATATTTTTTCGGGTTTAGCGATTTTTTATTTAAATTTGTGATTATGATATTTCCCATCCTTCAACAATGGAGGCTTCCATCCACCGACTGATCAAATGCCTTAATCATTTTTTTTATGGGTGATATTCAATAATCGCTGTTTCACTTTCTGTTACGAATTGAGAACTATCTGGTTATAAGTTACATTGAGTCCATAATTGACTATACTAGTGGCATTGTTTTGCATTGATTGCATGATTTGATTAATATCTCCTTAATGGGGAAGAGTACTGACTAATGATTATTTTTCAATTATTATTATTACTGTCTTTAAATACTAAAATGGAGTTATGAAAGAGTTATTCCATGGATCCATGGTTTTTCTTACTGTTATAAACTCTCGTGAAGTCCATTCAGTGCAAGTTTTTGTTCTTTTTTTTTCCCTGAATATAGTGCAAGCTAATATTCCATCCGTAAAGAGAGTCTAAATGAATGATAACTTTTTCTAAGAGCAATATAATAACCCTATAATTATTTATTTTTTGACGCTGGGCTCTCCTAATCCTAATCAAAGCACTTATTTATAATCTAACTTCCTTGAACCTGGCTTGATTCATGTTCTTCGTATTTTTTTTTCTGGATGTGTTGTTGATCACGTTCGGTGATTGATCTTACGGCTTCATTACTTCAATTGATATGATTGGCTGAAGAGGTGACGAATGAGTCCATTAATGTTCCAATAAGGATTCACTCGATTTAGCAGTATTTGTAAAAACAAGAAGTTACTCAATTTCCAAATTACATTATAGTTCAAAACTTCAATATAGTAAGTTAACTCGTATGAAAGTTAATAAATCATCATTATCATTGTTTAAAGGAAAAACTTAAGTTGGCCTTAAAAAAAAAAGAGGAAACTTGTATTTGATTTTATATAATTAAAGAAAAATTGGATTGGATTATTTCACATTTTTTGTCTCAATATTTTTTAAAATTTTGGTTCGAAAATCAGTGATTTTGTGGTATAATATCACATTCAATAGGTTTTTGAATTTTATGGAACATGAATTTCATATCATATGTCCAATATGCTTCAATTTAAGATTCTTTGCAGGTTTATTATGCTCCATCTCGATCACAATAGATATAATACATTTTTTAAAGTTCAATCCAATATATATATATACACACACACACACAACATTGGGTATAGCTTTTATAATTTTTTTAAACTATATCACTGTTTTATTCATTACAATCATTTTGAAAAAAAAATGATGCATTGAAATTACTAAAACACTTATATATGATATTTAATGAAAGTATAATTTGATTTTCAAAAAAAAAATTAACTTAAAAATTATGAAATAATTATCAATACCCCATATAAGGATTTAGAGGAAGTAGCTTACCATAGCACTAAAATTTTTCGACCACACGTGAATTGCCCGAAAGGATCAAGTTTTTTTTTTTTTTGGGCAAAACCCAAAAGAATCGGTTGAATGACTATAAATCTCAGATTGCATGAATTGAAATGGGTCTCAACATAATCACCAGTAAACCAGTAATAAATTCTTTCTCTAACATTTTTATGTGTTTTGTGGGGTTTTTCTTGTGTTGGGGGGTAGGTTTGCTTGGCAGATAAGAATTATTTTTAATCTATATCCTGCAACGTTTAAAAACCTAAATTATTACTGAGTGACGCTTGGTTTAACAAGTCAAATGAATATAATCAACTTAACTTAAGAGTGTTAATTTTGATTCCTAAAACATGCAAACGTGTTATATATAATGACAGATATTTTTAAAATACCCATGAAGCTGCCAATAGTAATAAGTAATAATAATTTCACACTGTGAGATCCATATCAGTTTAAGCAGGTGGTGGTAATACTTTTAGATTTTTAAGATAGTGGAGGATTGAATAAAAAAAACTAATTATTTAGTGTATAAAACAGAAATAAATTTGGACCATAGAGATGGAGGTTTGATTCTGAATGAGCCAGCATTGTCGCCGTTAATCATTACATACTAGTAGTCCACGGGGACATTTTGGTTTGGTGGGTATTGTGAGTTCCAAATAATGTCGTGGATGAGAGATGAGGCCCAGTTTCATGATTTTGAATAGTGCAGTTCATGCAGCGAGAGGGCTGGGTAACCTGTAAGTGGGTTTATGTTGGAATCTAAGCTAGGGCCTACTGAAAAGTCATGCTATGCATTTGAGTTCGGAACTCGATTTCGGGCTACTCGATCTTATCTGGGCAGAATATGAAGAATGGCCCATAATACATAGGACTCGACCCGAGACAACTGGCCTTGGGGAGCCACCTCGTGGACCCCTTTTATTAGGAATGATAATATTTATTTTCATCAAGGGCAGACTAGAAATCAACAAATATAAATAAACTCATAAATTATGTAATTTAAGTTCAGCTAATTATAATTATGCAACTCCATAAAAATAAAAGTGACATAATAACAAACAAATGAGGATCGACTTAAAAGAAATTAGCCTTTTCCACCAAAGTATCAAGCCATATAATTTAATCATATATATGCTATCACTTCTAACATAATAACAACAACAACAACAACAAGCCTTTATCTCACTAGGTGGGGTCGGCTACATGGATTGCAAGACGCCATTGTGCTCTATCATTTATCAAGCTTTTAGGAATATTATTAATTAAGAGATCGCGTTCAATAACTTCCAAGAATGTTCTCTTAGGCCTTCCTCTACCTCTCTTAATCGGACTCAAAGTTATATGTTTCACTCTTCTCACTGGTGCCTCCCTTGGTCTTCTTTGTACATGCCCAAACCATCTCAACCGATTTTCTACCATTTTTTCCTCAATAGGTGCCACCCTCACTTTTTCGCGTATGTGCTCATTTCGAATTTTATCGTTACGTGTATATCCGCACATCCATCGTAACATTCTCATCTCTGCTACTCTAACTTTATGCTCTTGCTGTCTCGTTAGAGCCCAGCATTCACTACTATATAACACTGCCAGTCTGATAGCAGTGCGATAAAACTTTCCTTTAAGTTTATTAGGACACCTTACGGTCACAAATAACTCCTTTAGCTTTTCTCCAATTAAACCACCCAGCTTAAATTCTATATGAAATATCTCCACTGATTTCACCATCATTTTGAATAATGGCTCTCAAATATCTAAACTTTTCCACTTGAGGTATAATTTGATCTCCCAATTTCACTTCCAAATTATTTTTGAATAGTCCTTTACTAAATTTACAATATAAATATTCCGTCTTACTTCTACTCAGACGAAAACCTTTCGACTCCAATGTCCTCCTCCATAACTCAAGTTTGCAATTAACCTCTTCTCTTGTCTCTGCTATAAGAACTATATCATCCGTGAAGAGCATACATTTCGGGATTTCCTCTTGAATATGTTCCGTCAAAACATTTAAAATTAAGTTAAACAAATAAAGACTCAGAGATGATCCCTGATGTAGTTCAATCTTTATAGGAAAATCCTTTGTTTAACCACTAGGCGTTCTTATACTAGTTTTTACCCCCTCATACATATCTTGTATGGCTTTAATATAAGCAATCCGTACTCCCTTTTTTTCAACGCTTTCTAAAGCACTTCTCTTGGTATACGGTCATAAGCTTTTTCCAAATCAATAAAAACCATGTGTAGATCTTTATCTTTACAACGATACTTTTTCATTAATCCCCTTAGTAGATAAATCACCTCTGTAGTTGATCTACCTGGCATAAAATCAAATTGATTCTCAGAAATACTTGTCTCCAATCTCAACCTATGCTCAATTACTTTCTCCCACAATTTCATTGTGTGGCTCATGAGTTTAATCCCTCTATAGTTAGTATAATTCTGAATATCTCCTTTATTTTTATAAATAGAAATTAATCTACTTCTCCTCCACTCATCAGGCATTTTCTTGGATCGTAAAATCACATTAAATAACTTAGTTAACCATCTCACCCCTTCTTCACCTAAACATTTCCACGCTTCGATAGATATACAATCAGGTCCGTTGGCTCTACCATTCACCATTTTCTTAAGAGCTTCCTTTACCTCCTTATCACGTATTATTCGATAGAATGACAAATTTTATTCTCCTTTACCAGTTATTAAATCCTCCAAGTTACTAGATGAATCCTCTCCATCATTGAAAAGTTTAGAAAAATAAGTCTCCCATCTATTTTTAATTTCATCATCTGTAACTAAAATTCTTCCCTCTTCATCCTTAATACACCTTACATGTTCTAGATCTCTTGATTTCTTTCCCTACTCTTGGCAATCTTATAAATATTTTGCTCTCCTTCCTTCGTATCAAGGTTCTTATAAAATTCTTCAAAACTTTAGAACGA